TTCAAATAGGAAAAGTAGAGGTGAAACTCTATTTTCAGATGACATGATTGTATACATAGAAGACCCAATGGTATCCATGCAAAAATTCCTGGAAGTAATACATGAAAACAGTAAAGTTGCAGGATACAAAATCAACACATAGAAATCTATAGCATTTCTATATACAAACAGCATGCAGACTGAGATAGAACTGAATAAACTAATTCCACTTACATAGCCACAAAATGTATAAGATACCTAGGAATAAATCTAACCAATGAGGTTAAAGACCTCCATGAGTAAAACGACAAGAAGCTAAAAGAAGAAAATGAAAATGACACAATAAAATGGAAGGTCATCCTATGTTCCTGGATTGGAAGAATTAATATAACCAATATGACAATTCTACCCAAATTAATCTACATATTTAACACAACCCCAATCAAAGTGCCAGAGACATTCTTCAGAGATCTAGAAAAAACAATCATACAAGTTCTCTGGAACCATAAAAGACATCGTACTACCAAAGGAATCCTGCACAATAAAATGGAATGGGTGACATCTCACTTGTTAATCCAAAAATAGACTACAAAGCTGTGTTAATAAAAATAGTATGGTATTGGACAGAAACAGACAAGTGGACCAAAGAAAAAGAATAGATTCTGGAGAAATTAACTCCCAAACATACAGCCTACTGATTTTTGACAAATTGTACCAGTCGATCCAGGGTGTAAAGGAAAACCTCTTTAGTAAATGATGCTGAAAAAACTGAGTATCCAGCTGCAGTAAGATGAATTTGAACCCCTCCTCTCACCACTGACAAAAATCAACTCAAAGTGGATCAGAGATCTAAACCTAAGTAAGATCTTAAACTATAAAACTGCTGCTGAAAAACACTAGGGAAACTCTGGGAGTAATCGGGGTAGGCAAAGAATTCTTCAATAAGATCCCCAGTGAAAAGTCAATAATCCCCAAAATAGACAAGTGGGATTACATCAGAATAAGAAGTTTTTGCATGGCAAAAGGCAAAAAAGGCACACTAATTAGTGTGAACAGACAGTCCTCAGAATGGGAAAATGTTTTTGTAAACTATACATCAAATAAGGGACTGATAACCAGATAACCAGAATACACGAGGAACTCTAGCAGCTGTCCAAAAAAAGATGATTAACCATATTAGAAGATGGGAGAATGTGTTTAAAAAACACTCTCTAAAGAAGACATGAGAATAGCCAAAAGGCATATTAAAAAATGCTCAACATTGCTCATTGTAAGGGAGATGCAGATCAAAATCACAGTAAAATATCATCTAACCCCAATCAGAATAACTAAGATTAAAAAAAACAAAAATGATAAATGCTAGCAGGGGTTGGTGAAAGGGGAACTCTCCTACACTGCTGGTGGGAATACAAATTTTTACAACCACTGTGGAGAACAATTTGAAGTTTCCTCAAAGTTCTACAAATAGAACTACCATATGACACAGTAATCCCACTCCTTGGTATCTACCCACATGAGAGAAGAATTCTTAATCAGAAAAGAACTTGCTCATCGATGTTTATTGCAGCACTATTCACAATTACTAAGACATGGAGCCAACCTAAATGCCCACGAACAGATGAATGGATTGAAAGAATGTGGCACATATACTCTATGGAATACTACTTGGTCATAAAGAAGAAGAAGACGATCCTGGCTTTTGGAAAAAAATGGATGAATATGTAAGATTTACTGCTGAGTGAAGCAAGCCAGGCTATGAAAGAGAGACATTGTATGTCTCCACTTAATACATATTGAGTGTCTGCACTCTATGGCTGAAACTGGAAGTCTAAGGGATATGGAAATATAGTAAATTGTTTAAAATACTAGATACAGTGTGAGAAGAGAGTGGGTAAAGGAATAGATTGTAAATAAAGGCATTAAGAAGAAAAATAGAGAGGCAAGTCATTTATGGGACAAGGAAATGGGTTATTATCTATTGAAAGTAATTTTACAGTATTGTTAACTGGACTGGTTAGAAATGCACACATGTTGGAATATTCACTTTGCAAGCTAAGTAATATGTGATTGAATGTATAAAAGAAATTAAAATAAAGAAATTAAAGAAAAAATAGTAAAAAGGAATAACTGGTACTTTAACTTTTAAAGCAATAGATTACTTTGACTGTTTTTGAGTGTTAAGTAAATCAAATAGTACACTGTGTGACCTTTTGTTGTCTGGCTTCTTTTTACTCATATATTTGTGAGTTTCATTCATGTTGTTGCATTGTAGTTGTAGCTTGTTCATTCTTACTACTGTGTGATATTCCAATACACAAATGTATCACAGTATATCTAGTATGTTATTGATGAAAATTTCAGTTATTTTTATTTTTTGGCTCTCATATATAGTTGAACGCATTTTACAAAATTAAACCAATTTATTGAAGCAAGATTGTCATGCAAAAATATGTACATACGGTGTATACAACTTGATGAACATATATTTTATTTTATTCATTTATTTGTTGAAGTTTTTGCCATAGAGCATGTATGCTCACCAGAGAGACACAATAACAGGGAAAGTGAGAAATCACTCCCCAGAGGGATGGCCACACCACAATTTCTTCTCCTCCATTCTTTTGGGATTTGTGACATGCACATGCACCTGGTATGATTTTCAAACTGCCACATCAGAGATCCCCAACTGTGGTTGGTCATGTAGGAATCCAGTGCCTCAACCACCATGCCACCAGCTGGAACACATATTTTATAATAAAAAATAGGGTTTGAGATTTTAGTCATAGGAGACTCAGCTGTTGAAAATGACTTTCCCATTAAGGAAAATACAAAATCTGGACAAAAATAACTAAAATAATTAACCTGCTAAAAGGCATATAAAAAGCCAGAAGATAGAGAATAATTTCCTAGCTAAGATAGGGTTAGAACAGGTCCAAGAGCTGAATAAAGAATGTGATGAATAGTTTTTCCTTGGAAAAGTTTACCTATTCTAGAGAGAACTGCTGAAAGATTTAGATACTTGGTAGAGCTTGTGATAACTTTTTGAAGCTACAGCTACAAAAGCTGGACTTCAGGGCCAGGTAAATCCCTTCACTTTTGTTGGTAACTCTAAGGGTGATATTCAAGGAGTAAGGATTGACCAGAATTAAATAAGGCTTCACGGGAACTCTGGCATATATTCAAAATACTTTCCATAAATTTATATTAACTTTCATTCGCATCAGCACTATATATGGGTCTGTTTTCACATGTTAAATGATATTAAGTTATATTTTAAAGTTCTTTCATACTTTATTGTATCAAAATTATTATTGATCTTACTTTCCATTTTAGAAATTATTTTCTTTTTATAAACTTAGTCATTCTGTTATCCAACCTATCCTCTGGTTCAAATATCATGAATAACTATTAAGCATTCATATGTTTACAGAATTTTGGTTCATTGATTTGCTTTTTGTTCTGTATTATTTTGCTGCAAATCAATAAATAAAATATTTATAGGGGTACAGATTCAGTATACATTGCTTCCTAAAATATTTAAATAATAATTCCAACATTTCTAAAAGAACACCAAACTTTTCTCCACTGATTTATAAAATGACCACTTTTATTTAATTACTTCATATTTTTTTTTCAAAGCTCTCAATTATGATAAATAGATAAGACTGCTAGGTACTGTGGAATATATCCAAATATACACTAGTGGGAGAAAAGGCAAATTATGAATAACTATAAAATTGAGTTTTATGGATCAAGGGCCAGTCTTGTAACAGGTGCTCAATATATAAGAAGGGACTTCGGAACCAGCAGTTAGCGTAATGGCTATGTCGCTGGACTTCCAAGTAGTCGAGCAGTTTGAGTCCCAGACCCGGTGGCTTAAACTCACTCTGGGCGCATGTGCATGCATGCCCAAGATCCCAAGAGGAGAATGGAGAGAGGAGAATGGAAGAGAATGGATTGTGGCATGGCCATCCCCCCCTGGGGGGTGATTACTCACTTTCTGTCTCTCTCGTCTCTCTGGTGAGCACATGCGCCCTATGGCAAAAACCTCTCCAAAAAAAAAAAAAAGGGACTTCAAAAAGTTCATTTTTTAAATAGAACTAAAGCATGAGTTTGAGTAGCAAAAAAAAAGTTGATACCCATGCAGCTTTTTTTTTCATAATTCTAATTTTCCATTAACTTGTCAACATCTGTATCTATTGAATGAAAACAAGAATGCATTCGAAAACATCCTTATTCTTTACAGAAAAGGACATATTATGAAATCACATATGAAAAATGATCCAAGTTTTATAAAAAAAAAGAAAGAAAAAAAAACTTAGGAAAAGGAAGAAAGAAATAATGAGCACTAATATTTTACTGTGAGTCCTGAGGAACAAGAAGTGGAATTCCAGTTAATCATTTTTTTTCTTCATATCAATTTTCTGAAATATACACAGTGCTCACATTGCACATGCAATTATTTTGTCAAAACAAAAAGAAAGAGAAAGAAAGAAAGAGAAAAAGGAAAAAAAATGAAACAAAACAAAATAAAACTATAGCAAAATGTTCTGGAAGTACCAGTCAGAAAAAGTCAGGTTAAAAACAGGCTAAAAAGGCAGACTGAGCAGTAGCTATCCCAATTTTTCATCCAAACACAAATGCTTTTAAATGACGGGAAAGGCGAACTAATATAAATTATCTGTAATTCTCATGGATAAAGAAAAGGCAAATTTTTGAAAGATGAAGAGCAGACTACAAGGGACTCTAAGAGAGTGGAAGTGGTGGTGGGAGTTCAAACGGAGGAATCCTGAAATGGAGAGGGCTGGAGAAGAGAAAATGGAATCAGTGGAATTACAGGATCAATGGAATAGGCTCTTACGTACTAGGCTGCTACAGGTTTTGAAAAGAGGAGGAGCCAGGTAAAGAGCTCCACTGGAATACAAAAACACTTATGGCATAGGATGGGGGTGGGGATGGGGGCAAAGTGTTTGGCAGGAAGGGGAAGCCTCCTTTCCAGGCAGGAAGCTGCAGTACAAAAAGAGGGAGGAGTTTGCAGCCGTGGCTGCCACCTATGGTGGAAGCCCAATGGTGGCAGGGGGGCTGACTCGCCAACTGGGAGGAAGAGAGCCAGCTAGCACCGCGCTGGAGACGCGGTTGGCATCCTCTTCACCTGCCCAGTCGCCCTCCTAGACGCGCTTCCCGTTTAGGAATCCATCACCCACCCACCTCCAGCTTTCTCAAGCACGCACTCGGTTGTTCGCCTGCTGATCTTCCTCCGCTACAGGCTCTTGGCTGAGACCACAGCTAGGTGTCCGATTTGGGCACTTGAGGCCCGCGATTCCCGGTGGTGGACGCCAAGGAGGGCAAGGCCATTCATTGGTTGGTGCTAGAAAGGAGAGGGGGATGGGGTGGAATCCAACAAAAGATGCGGAGTGGAAGTGGGCACCTGGCAAGGGTTGGGTGGGAGAGTGCAGTGGGCAACAGGGATAGCGGATTGCATTAGGACCCAGGCGAGGATTTCAAGGAGAGTACGTAAAAGCCTTGGCGGTGTGTGCCTGAGAACCGGATGAGGTAGGCTGGCTGCAGACTGGGACGCCCAGGATAGGAGAGCAGTGGGGACAGGTCCAGGTAGTGGAAGAATAGGTACTTTGCAAGGGCTTGTGAGTGGCGCGCGCGGTCGGTGGGAGTGAGGTGTGTGTTCGGAGGGAGATTGGTTGGGGGGGATGGGAGGACAGGGACAGTGACCGCTGAGCCAGAAGGTAGCCAGCAGCCCCTTCAGCAGAGTTCTTAAGCCTGGCCACACTTCCTCCACTCCAGCCCTTTCCCACAGCCTAAAGGAACCTAAAAGAGAGCACTGCAGGCAGGCAGCCAGGATTTCCAGCATGGCAGTCAGGCTCCTGAGGAAATTTTAGGCGCCGGCTTAGGGTACATAGCAACATCACTATAGGAAGAAGTTCACCCCATGACATACTGGATATGTCTCTCTCTCTCTCTCTCCTCTCTCCTCCCCCTGCAGGCATGAAGACCCCCAATGCACAGGAGGCTGAAGGGCAACAAACCAGGGCAGCTGCTGGAGGGGCCACTGGGTCTGCCAACAAAACAAAGAAAAAAGCCTCCCAAAAGAAGCATAGAGGCAGACCTTCTTTTCTGCCCCGCAGGAACATTGTAGGCTGCAGAATTTCTCACGGATGGAAGGAAGGTGATGAGCCCATCACGCAGTGGAAAGGAACCGTTCTGGATCAGGTGCCTATAAATCCCTCTCTTTATCTGGTGAAATATGATGGAATCGACTGTGTCTATGGACTGGAACTTCACAGAGATGAAAGAGTTTTGTCTCTTAAAATTCTTCCTGACAGGGTGGCATCCTCTCAAGTCAGTGATGCCAACCTTGCAAATACCATAATTGGCAAAGCAGTGGAACATATGTTTGAGGGTGAGCATGGTTCTAAGGATGAATGGAGGGGAATGGTCTTAGCCCAAGCACCTATCATGAAAGCCTGGTTTTATATTACTTATGAGAAAGATCCTGTCCTGTACATGTATCAACTTCTAGATGATTATAAAGAAGGTGACCTCCGTATCATGCCAGAGTCCAATGAATCTCCTCCAGTGGAGAGGGAGCCAGGGGGAGTTGTAGATGGCCTGATAGGTAAACATGTGGAATATACCAAAGAAGATGGCTCCAAAAGGATCGGCATGGTCATTCACCAAGTGGAAGCCAAACCCTCTGTGTATTTCATCAAGTTTGATGATGATTTTCATATCTATGTCTATGATTTGGTGAAAAAGGCTTAACTCTTAGGGTAACGTTTGTCACATTTGTGAAAACAAACACATAATTTGTAGACATGCAAAAAATGTTGCTTTTCAGTGTATTGAAAATTTAAAGGTTCCTGATAACCAACATCCTCTGCCAGCCTAACTGTTGTTTTATTCTGAAAAATACAAGTTTATGTGGACATATGCTGTGTGTAAGCACTTTGTCCTACTGAAAAGGTTGGGTGTGTTTGGTGAATGGACATGGAAGGAAGAAAGAAACAGCTGTCAATTTAGGTTGTGAATAAAGTTCAGCTAGTATTATAATCAGTTATCTAAAAATAGAATGGGACTTAGCTGGTGTGCTCTAGAGGAGGGGAAGGGAAGGAACTAGAGATGGGTTCTGGGAGAGGGCAAAGGAGAAGGTGACTGCTTAGGCACAGGAATCAGGAAACAGGAAGGGAAAGGTTCCCAGGGGGAGGGATAACCTATGAGGGAGAAATATCCAGCTGGGGAGGAGGTGAAGAATAGCAGAGGGATAGTGAGATCTTGAGGCTTAGAAGAAAACAGAATAAATCGAGTAGAGAAGGACATAGATAAGTTTAGAATGGTTCTATGGTAAAGGAAAGAATGATCATGTTGACAAGGATCTGGGGAAGAGGCTAAAGGATACACAAAAAGAGGGTCAATTTGTGTGTGCATGTGGGAGAGGGGCAGTGGGGAAACAGAAAGGAAGGAGAAATTCAGAAACACAAGACTGACAGAGAGAGTGAGTATACAGACAGAGGAGTGGAGGCCCATGAGGGATGAGAAGGCCCAGAAAAATGTTGCTCCTCTGGAAGTATCCACATTGCCTTCCCTGGCTCTGTGTACAAAGGACATGGCAATTGTTAAAGAAGCCAGATACATTGCAATTTCCCTCGAAGAGCAGTTGGACAAGGATGAACCAAATTGAGTTAAGCAGGATCAAAGTTTATACCTAAAGACTTTAAGTCCTTTCTGTTTTCAGGGGGTTTGTGCCACACTTGCTGAGCAGAGCCCCGACTCTCAGCCTACCACATTACCTTGTGCTCCACAAGAGCTGGGCATAGGCTGCCTCCTCACATTGTCCAGAGAATGCAGGTATGGTAAATCTTGGACCTGAAGGTCTTGGTTCATTCTCCTACACTGGATAAACAATACTTAGAATGAATTAGTGGGGCTATCAGAGCTTAAGAGATGTGCCACACACTGCATTTACAAAATATTTTATACACAGTAATGGAACCTTGCTAAGCCTGCTTACAGTAGTCCCATCACTGTTCCTCCTG